GGAGGACAGGAAACTTTGCTTAGAAACTTCAAAAACACGTATCTAAAAAAAAATCCACACAAGTGGACAGCAAAGACAAAAAGAATACGCTCAACCTCACAGCAACACAACACGTTCCCGGAGGAAAACCAGGCGTATTAACAGCAAATAACACATCTTTCAAACACGAGGCATTTTTTCCTTTTGACAGAGGACTGCTGGGGAGAGGGGGCTGCTAAACTGGTTTTCCTCTGAGCACTTCCAGTTATTAAAAAAAAAAAAAAAAAATCCTCTTGCGAAGAACATATCCACTGTTGTACAACTGTCCCAGAAAACAAAGACCACGGGGAGAAAGTGGCCCATTTTCTTCAGTCTCCAAGAACCCCGTGTACAGGTCATGTTTTCAAAGGCTCAATCCTACACACTCTAGAATGAAGCAGCATTTAAAGTCTATGAATAAACACCTACTGTTAGAATTATTAGAATACCCCATTTTTGGGTACCATACTAAAATCAACTCAATTACACCAGAGCTAACATAGAGCCTATGAAAACAACTGCAAGAGAAGTTTAGCTGTGAGTGAGTTTCCCCCTCCTGGACAGGCTGCATCAAAAACAAAAGACTAGTTTTCTATTTCAGTTACAGTTATCCCACTAGCGTACCCAACCACGTAATATTTTTCAGGAACGTATGTTTGGGAGCTCCCCTAAATACTGTTTTTGTAGCTCTCCCTCCAGCCCATGGGGCAGGCTCCTCTACCCATTTCTTGTCAGTTCCCAAAAAACACCTTAAAGCGATAATTCCTCACCACATGTTGAAAATATTGTGACTAATAATACACTCCACCCATTTTTTCCATCACGAAGGATTTCAAAATATAAAACTTGACAAACAGTGAGAGAAGCCAGACGGAATTTAGAAGGGGAAAGTCAAATTTTATTTCCAATTAAAAGATGCTATAAAAACATAAAATGTTCAAGCAAGGTATTGATAAAAGTGGAAGAGCTATCCAGTCACAGCAAGCTTCTTCCTCAAAATTACATTTTTCCTCACTCTTCTGGATAACGTAGCTTTTCCTTTAAATCCCCAAAGAAAAAAGAATTAAAAAAAATACTCCTCCTCCTTTTTGAGAAAATACATTTAATGCATTAGAAGCAGAGCTGCTCCACGTACACAGAGAATCCACACTTGTAATAAACACTTGATCGAGTTCAAGAACTGAGACCTAGATCTACATTACAGTGACTAAATCCTAAAAATGATACCAGTGATGCAATTAAAATGCACGCAAGAACTTCGGTACAGGTGTCTACAATACCACTGTTTGCAAAACACATCTCCTAATTAGCATGGCTTTAAATAATGCTGATAATAATCCGGCCCTGTAAAGCTTGCCAAATGAATCATTGAGATTGCAAAATAAAAGGCATGAGGAATTCATTAAAGAGCTGTTAAACTCTCCTTTGTTTATCTTTCCCCTGTCAGGTGTAAAAATAAATAAATATCGGTTTGTATCTCTGGATTTCTTCCGAACGCTCAGCTTCACAATACCGCGCCGGCGAAGAACCTCCTCAGGAGGTACCAACCGTTTTTTTCCTCCGTTTCAAAAGAGAAATCCTCCCACTATTACAGTCCTGAAAATCTGCTCCATTCTCTATTTGTCATCTGGGATTGAGTTATCAGACACTACTTGTATTACTTTGGGAACTGACATGTCTATTTAGAGAGACACAAAGGCAATCCAGCAGCACAACCCCTTCTTCCACCAGCACCTTTCGCAGCACCTCTCCTTCTCCCCTCGGCCAAATTTTACAAACACTTTCTTCTGGGGAGGGGGGAGGACACCTCACTAGTTTCCCAGCATGACAGAAAACATTTCCAGCCACTTTTGCACTTGTTACAGCCTTGTGAAAAACCACCTATATCCCCCCAAAGGAACAGCATTATTTTTTCAAGGGGTCTTTTTGTTTGTTGGTGGTTTTTTTTTTTTTTTAAAAAAAAGAGGGTCACTTCCCCCATTTCAGCCTGCAATTAAAATGGAGGCAAGGCCAGGCGATCTATGTCTGGCTTTAGGGGGAGACAATAACCCAAAACAGGCCTGGCTTTTAAAAAAAAAAAAAAAAAAAAAAAAGAGGAGAGGGAGAAAGAGAGCGAGAGAGAGAGACAGGCAGAAAGAGAGAAATACAACATGCTTCACCAGTATTATTACCTCATCCCTTTTTCCAAGCAGTTTTGAACCACACTCCTGACAAACTCTTGGTCCAACTTGCACGGATGCTGGTTTTTAGGGGGCGGAAAGGGTTTTAATGCTGGAGCCGGGATTGAGGCTGGCTATTCGCAAGTGGAGCTGCTGTTAAAATGCCCCCTTGTCTCTTCTCCTCTCCCTTGAGCTGGGTGTTGACGCAGCAGAAATTACCAGCTGGAAAATTCCCCTTTTGGAGGTTACGGGGGGGG